GGGGGGGGGGGGGGTAGTTTGTGCTATGAACTTAGCCTTGCAGCTTCTGGAACTTGAGCCAAAAGGGGCAGGAAGTTGTTTTACAATAGCGTTACAGTGATCTGCCACAAATGGAAAAAGCCAAACGTTGGGCTCTGGGAAGAGAAAAAATATTCTTCTTCCCCTACCTCTTCTTTTGCCCCCCTCTAATGAACCAGCAAGTTTAGCTGAAAGTTCTTTTTTTGTTGCTGTTTGTTTGTTTGAATCTCTTTCTTGGAGTAACAGAAAGATTATCTTACTTGCGTATTCCACAGCGAGCTTGAGGGAAAGAAGTATCAAAGGGACGTTTAAAAAAATGCACTTGGTAACTAGCAACGGGACTTTTGGCACGATTCCTTGAGTTTGCTTGAGGTTATGGAGGGGGGATGGGAAGAAGAAAAGCAAGTCTACGTAGCACGTTTTCTTCTAAAATAATAATAAGGAAGGAAAGCCTTAGAAAACTTTTTTTTTTAAGGAAACGTATGTGGATCCTCTAAGTCTGAATCCTCAGGCGTTTGTGGCCTGTCTTTGCAGTCCGATGTGTTTTTGTGTGTGTGTGTGTGTGTAAGCGCTCTCAATCAAACAGCAATCATGGCAGCTGTTTTTCTTCCAGCACAGCAGTTGAGCTGTCTCGCCCAAATGCTTATCAGCTTTTGACTCGGTGCCAAGATAGTTATAAGGGCCAAGCAGCCTCAGCTTGGCTGTGCAGCTGGTTCAGAAGTAAGGGCAAGAGAAAACAAAATCACTAAGTTTTGTCACATACAGTATTTACTGCTCCAAATCCCTATTTGCTGCATTAGTTTCTCTGTGCTGCATTTGAATGCTGCTTAGTACATGCATTTGATTTTTTGGGGGGGTTGTTTTTTTGGAAAGGGAATCTTGTCTCTCGTGTTTCTGCTTTGGGTTTTGCTTTGTTGTTGTTGCCTTTAAATCTTCACCGAAAGGTCCTCAGAAGGAAGAAAAAGAGACGTCATGCAAAGCTCAGTTGGCTGAACTGCATTTTTAAGCATATCGTCATATTGTAGCATGCATAAGAAGAGCCTACTGCCGTGTCTCTCCCACCATCCTTTCTTCCTTCCTCTCCACACACGTATACAAACATCTAAACACACAAGACTGCTTTGTGTGGAAGAAAAATAGCTGCTCTGGATTTGGGGGCAATGCAGTTGTGTTTGTGGTGGGGGAGGTGCTGTATTAATTGGGTGCGTGCATGCAGTATGTGTGTATGGATTTGGGGGCTAATGCAGAAGCTGCGTTACTGTGTGGGAGGTGCTGTATTCATTGTTGGGTGCATGTATGAAGTGTGTAAAAGCAAAATAGCTTCTCTGCATGTTGGGGGGTGCTGCAGTCATTGTTGGGTGCATGCAGTGTGTGTGTGTGAGAAAAATAGCTTCTCTGCATGTGGGGGCAAATGCAGAAGCTGTGGGGAGGTGCTACAGTCATTGTTGGGTGCATGCAGTGTGTGTGTGTGTGTGTGTGTGGAAGGGGTGCATGCAGTGTGTGTGTGTGATGAAAAGTAGGCTGCTCACGCAGGGCCGTGCCTCTGTTTCATCATCAGCTCTAGCCGACTCCGTTTCGCCAGCTCACACTCCTCCTCCTCGCCCAGATTGCTGCGCTCGCTCGCGAGGGGGAGATTGGATTCTGAAAAAAGGCTGCTGCTTGCATTCCTGA